ACACTATAGATGTAAAATCTTAATTGATTTACTTTTGACAACTTAAGATGTTAAAGATTATATGAATACTGAAATATCCTTATAAAATTAAAAATAATATAACCAATAAAAATCAGGAGGTGGGAGGAAAAGAGGAAGTCTTTACAGCAGGGAGTTGATCAATACTATCTAAAATTGAAACTCTGAATTAAAAAATAAAAAATCTGACTTCAAAGCATTCTTCATGATCTTTTTCCTTAGTCCTAGGAACAATCTCATAGAAACTAATTTGAAGAAATATTTATGTGAAGTTTGGTGTCACTTTAGTTTTTTCCTCCTACTAAATTCAAGTAAAATTACATTTAATAGTTTATTTAAAATAGCATAAAAACCAAAAACCAAACTCAACGAGTCGACTCCAACTCACAGTGACCCTATAAGACAGAGTAGAACTGCCCCACAGAGTTTCCAAGGCTATAAATCTTTACAGAAGCAGACTGCTACATCTTTCTCCCAAGGAGTGACTGGTAGGTTTGAACTGCCAACCTTTCTGTTAGCAGCTGAGTGCTTAACCACTGTACCACCAAGGCTCCTATTAAAATAGCATAAACACTATATATTGTATAAATCCATTTCTATAAAATTAATACCTTCATCTATCTTGCTTCCTTCCTTCCTGCCAACCTATTTACCTACATAAGTATCTCCCCCTCTCCCTCCTCCCTACCTACGTATCCACTTACCTATATATATATTGTCTGGAATGATGATTCCCTAATTAATTATGCTGCTTTATTTCTTTTGGATGGTGGAATTCTGATTTTGTTGCTCTCTTCCATCTACTTTTCTGTATACTTTAATATTTTTAATAATGAACTTGCATCATGTTTTATAAAACAACAGAGCCCATTGTCTTAAAAAAAATCATCTAGGTGAATTCCTGGTTCTCTGATATCAAGCTATTACTGATACATCTACTAAAAGATCAGTTAACACACATGCCTGAAGACCTCATGCCTGAGAGCTAATCAGAATATACTAGCACAATTTAACAGTTCCATTGACAGTAATCATATGCATCCTTCTTGCAGTATGATGGCACACTAATGGAAGATTATAGGTAACATGACCTTTTTTGCAGTTGTGCCTGGCACAGTGCTGAGCATCCTGAAGGTTAGAATCTAAATACTTCTGAGATGACTAATAGTGATATATACTGATCCACAGCTGCACTCTCATTTACTTGCAAGATGAATGAAAGAAATGAA